AAAAAAAAAAAAAAAAAAAAAAAAAAAAAAAAAAAAAAAAAACAAATGTGCATGCAACTACTTTATTCATCTATATAAGAAGGACAATGCAAATTATTATAAGCAAGGAGGCAACAAAAGAAGAGATCAAAAGAGTATGTGGAAGCTGAAGATAGCAGACGGTGGAAATGACCCTTTCATATACAGCACAAATAACTTTGTGGGAAGGCAGATTTGGGAGTTCGATCCCGACGCCGGAACGCCGGAGGAGCGAGCGGCGGTCGAAGAGGCTCGCCGCAACTTCTTCAATAACCACCGGCAGGTGAAGCCCTGCAGAGACCTCCTCTGGCGGATGCAGGTAATTATAACTATATTATAACTAACTTAATTAGGACATGCGTTGTCTTTAAACATTTATAGTTTAATGTACGTCAATTTATTAACGTTATTGTTTTCCATATTAGAACGGCGGTGGTCAATTATCCTTATTTTTTAAAAGAACAATCATTCCATATTTACTATTGACGCGTTTTCCAGATCGTAAAATAATGTAACAAGAAAGATAATAAAATTATAAAAAATAAAAAATAGAATTAAATGTCATTTATTTTCTTTAATGTGTTTTTTTAAAAATTAACAATAATAATATTATGAATGTAATTATTAAAATGTCTTTTTATATAATTAAATAATTATTCATTGTATAATAATTCATTAAAGATATATAAATAAATTTAACATTCATTCCATTTGATGAGGAATCAATACTAAGGGGGTGTAAAGCTGATATTTCCTTTTCTCATTCTCTATATTATGTGAGATTCACTAAATCTTTAATATTGATTTTGTAAGTAAACACATTATTAGATGGGAAATAGAATCATTCCTTGCTTCGTCTTTCCCTGCCCTTAATATCAAAAGGTACTAAAACTAATGTTATATATTAAAAAATAAAAAAAATAAAAATAAAAACCATGGGTATAAATTGTAACATTATAAGAAATTATAAATCTGGATATATTTAAAAGTTAAATTTCAGAGATTAATAATTGAAACATTTAAAAAAAAAACAAAATCTGCATAAAAACTCTAATTAAAAATATCGGTGGGGGAAAATTAAAAGAGTAATTGAAAGGGAAAAAGTTCCGAACAAATTGATGAAGCCTAAAATAAAATATAGTATCAGTTAATTTGACTATATATCATTTTTAAGAGATGATTATGGTTTTTATCATTTTATTTTATTTTCTTGATTCATTTATTTTCAACTGGTATAAAGTCTGTTTTACTTTATATATATATATATATATATATATATCTAAATTATGAACCCTTCACTTAATCACCGATTAATTTGAGTTAATCAATAATTAATTTTAATTAATCAGTAATTAATCATATATGGTTGTTGATTAACTGATTAACTCTAGTTAATCAATAATTAATCATATCTGGTTGTCTAAAATAAAACTGTCTTTTTATTCAATGAATGTTTCAAACTTCTACATAAAAATCGTAGAGTTGAATGACGCTACCACAAAAAGTGATATTTTCCTAATCGTTAAACATATAATATAATATATATTTATAGCAATTTCCAATTTTCATATCATTTATATATTGTCGGCTTACGACTATTCACTAGTGCTGCAATTTTTTTTTAATATATTTTTAAACAACGTTATGGTACTACAATTGATTGCTAAAGTAATAATTACATGACAAACATTAAAAATGAATTAGAGGGAAATATTTTAGCAAAGAAAAGAAAAACGAGGGGAATAATACAATTTAAAAAAACAATTAATCTACTTTAAATAAAAATTAAAGGTCGACAGTTTGTCTTTATTCGATGCTGAAAATTACTTTCTACATATCAAAATCGAGTGGAGTGCTCACATGTTAGTGGTGGATGCGTCATAACACAGAGGATAATTAAATCATATTTTGTTTTTTTTTTTTTTTTTTTTTTTTTTTTTTAAAAAAAACTACATTACTTAACCGTTTTTTATTTACACTATTGATATCCAGTTCTTGAGAGAAAAAGAATTCAAACAAAGAATTCCTCCTGTTAAGATTGAAGATGGTGAGATTATCACATATGAAAAGACCACAGCCGCAATGACAAGGGCCGTACACTATATTTCAGCATTGCAAGCTAGTGATGGGCATTGGCCTGCTGAAAACACTGGCCCGTTGTTCTTCCTTCCTCCATTGGTCGGTAACTGAGCGTAATCGTCTTGTCTATTGTCTTTTTTTGTTTTTTGTTTTTTTTTTTGTTTTTTAGAAAATTGCTGCGATAGGAATTGTCATAATTTCTATCGTCAGATTATAAACTGCGACTTTAACTATTGGATTCTGTTCATTAAGATTTCAACGGTTTAATTTGTGAATATCAACGTTAAAAATTTATAACATGCGAAGCATGTACTGTTATAAACATAGATCAGACTGTTGATAACTTAATAAAATAGTTAAAATATAAGTAAAGTACTTATAGATAGTTAAAAAGAGCAGGTGATCACACTGTCGAAATTCTTTTTTGTTTCAATAAAACATTTCAGATGAGTAATTGTACCACATGAAAAAATCTGATTAAATATACGTTCCAACTGTAATATAAACATTTCTTTTTATATAATAATTTGAGCAAGTGAATTTAGGTAACATTGACACAAATTGTCATTTATTTGTATAGGTCATGACTCTATACATTACAGGACACCTTAATACCATATTCACTTCAGAGCATCGTAAGGAAATTCTTCGCTACATATACAATCATCAGGTCCATATTATATATATATATATATATATATATATACAATTTTTTTTCTTTATACCATATGTATTTATTTAATTATGGGATAAATGAATTCATTATTTAGAACTTTAGCAATGCTCATCATGTGGTCCATTTTAGAACGAAGATGGCGGGTGGGGATTGCATGTGGAAGGCCATAGCATCATGTTTTGTACAGTTCTGAGCTACATTTGTATGCGTATACTTGGAGAAGGACCTGATGGTGGTCAAGACAATTCCTGCGCAAAAGCAACAAAATGGATTCTTGATCATGGTGGTGTAACATATTTACCCTCTTGGGGAAAGATTTGGCTTTCGGTAATGTTTAGAAAATTAAAAGATTAAGAGATGAGGGAGTTTTTCTGGTAGGACAGTCCTACTGGTAGTGTTAATTTTTGACCGTTAGATCATGTTAAAATCACAATAGATAAAAAAATGCGTAAAATAGACATACATAATTATCAGTAGTTTATTTTTTTTGTCCTACCAATGAAGCTCCCTAAGATCATCTTAAGATGTTATGGTGAAAATAATGCTTTACATATATACGATGTTAATTTTTTTTAAAATTTTGTTACCACAAATATTATTAAATCTTATGCACGTATTTGTTCCAATTTCTTTTTATAGATACTGGGCATCTTCGATTGGACTGGATGCAACCCAATGCCTCCCGAGTTTTGGATTCTTCCTTCATTTCTTCCTATGCATCCAGGTTAATATAATCTCGTTCTTTATTTTGAACAAACAAATCAAAATGTTTGGATTATGCTCTCCAATTTTTTCTTTCATAATGGTCATGAATTTTTATCTTTTATATAAATAAACAAATTATATAATTTTGATAACCTGTTATAAATACAATTAGAAAAGTTAATTAAATTACATGAAATTATTTCGACCTTTTTTCCTTTAAAGAAAATAAAGGTTTCAAGCAATAGTGTAAAATTCTTGTGTATATACATCTATACCATTTGACTTATTAATTATCTTCGGTGATCTTAACAACTTTTCTCTATAAAATGCAGCCAAAATGTGGTGCTACTCTAGAATGGTTTATATGCCAATGTCATATTTATATGGGAAGAGATTTGTTGCTCCAATCACACCTCTTATTTTAGAATTGAGGGAGGAACTTCATACTCAACCTTACAATGACATAAACTGGAAGAAAGTGCGTCACCTATGTGCAAAGGTGAGCAGATATCCAATAGACCAACTAATATATATATATATATATATATATATATATTCTTATACGTAATATCAGCCTACACTATTGCATGTGCACATATTTTTGCAGATTATTGTACATATATATATGTATATATTATGAGCATTATATATATGTTATTGCAGGAAGACATATATTATCCCCATCCTTGGGTACAAGATCTGCTTTGGGATGGTTTATACAATTGTACTGAACCTCTTCTCACTCGTTGGCCCTTAAACAAATTGATTAGAGAAAGGGCTCTTCAAATAACAATGGATCATATCCATTATGAAGACGAAAATAGTCGATACATTACTATTGGATGTATAGAAAAGGTAAAAACTATATCAATTAATTTCAAGATGTATAGATGAATTATACAGCTATATTTTAGTTGCTTATAAGGATCGCATGGAATAGGTTTTATGTATGCTTTCATGTTGGGTTGAAGATCCAAATGGGGACTATTTTAAAAAGCACCTTGCAAGGATTCCTGATTACATGTGGGTTGCTGAAGATGGCATGAAGATGCAGGTAATTATACATGTTATATACACTCCTTTTTTTTCACCTTTAATAGTTTCATTTCTAATTTGATGTAGCAGAAGCTTAATTAAAAAATTAGAACAACACAAATAAAAGAGATAGATAGTTAATCTGTTGATTCACACAGAATGTCAAAAAATCTCTTTAAAGTATTCCGTTGATTCACACAAAATAACTAAAATTAGCGAAATTCGTTGATTTTATAAAGAATACCAAAACTTGAAAAAATAAGAAGTGTAAACACTCAAGTTTCATTCATAAAAAATTTCTACCTAACATATTTATAATCAAAATTGTCCCAAATGATAACGAGAAACTACAAATAAAATCAGAAAAATAAATAATTCTGAAAATTCAAAATAACAAAGGAAATTAGATTATATTTGACCCAAACATTAAGAGAAAAATGAAATTTGACTTTCTTAGATTAAAGTATTAAAAAAAATGAAACTTTTCTAACTGTAAAATTACTACTTTAATTAGTTGAAAGCTCCTAAGAATAGAATTGACTTTTCATGCACAATAATTATCCTATATATATTGATTTCTTTACTATATGAGCTGCATCACAATTGTATGTCCATCTTCCCTCTCTCTCTCTCTTTTCTCTCCTTCCCTCCCTCCCTCTCTCTATCTAATTTCTAGACATGTAGCTTGTTGAAATAGAATGAAAATTTTTTGAATACTAACATTTTCCCAAAAAAAAAAAAAAAATGATTTGCAGAGTTTCGGAAGTCAGGTGTGGGATACTAGTTTCGTAATTCAAGTTTTGCTTACTAGTAATCTTACAGATGAAATTGGACCGACTCTTGCAAAAGCTTCTGACTTCATAAAGAAATCTCAGGTTTAATCGTGTCTCTAGCTAGCTAAAAAATTTAATATGTAGTATCAATTAATTAAAGGAGTAATTGTCTAACTTAATTAGTTTTTGCATATATAACACATGCAAAGATCAAAGAAAATCCTTCTGGTGACTTTCAAAGAATGTACCGCCACATTTCTAAAGGAGGATGGACTTTTTCTGATCAAGATCATGGATGGTCAGTTTCTGATTGCACAGCAGAAAGTTTAAAGGTGATTACTTTAATAAGATATAATTAATTTGAGTTTAGCTATTCACTTCATCTTCTATGTAGACATATATCCCTAATTAACTGAATAATAATATGCTTCTTATAGTGTTGCTTATTGCTCTCGTCGATTCCACCGGAGATTGTTGGTGAAAAAGTTCAACCTGAACGGCTTTACGATGCTGTAAATGTTATACTTTCTTTACAAGTAAGGTTTTTTGATTTTTTTTTTTTTTTTTTTTTAACGAAATGAATGAATCAATTCACTATCTCTCAACATAACGTAGCATTTTAATTAATTCTTCTCCAAGGCACAATATTCATCTACAGTTTTGCACAAAACCACCAATCAAAGTAACTCGTTATTTTCAATTGATAAACAGAATAAGAATGGTGGTCTAGCAGTATGGGAGCCAGTAAGAGCACAAAAGTGGTTGGAAGTAAATACTTTAATCTCTTAATTATTCCGTATCTTTATTGAGATGTTTCAATTGATTTTGTGCTTTTTGGAATCACATTTGATTAAGTTGTTTTGGAATTTTAATTTCAATGTCGTAATTTAAACTCATCAGGTACTTAATCCTATTGAGTTCTGTGAGGATATTGTTATTGAACATGAATACGTAGAGTGCACCTCATCAGCAATCCAAGCTCTGGTTTTGTTTAAGAAGTTATTCCCAGGTCACAAGAAAAAGGAAATTGAAAATTTTATAACAAAAGCTGTTCAGTACCTTGAAAGCGTACAATTGCCTAATGGATCATGGTACGTTTTTTTTTCCTATATATATATATATATATATATATATGATTAAGGGAAAAAGTTTCATTTTAATTATATATACTACATATTTAAGAAACAAAACCAGTAATCAACAAATTAACAATATTTACATGTGGCATATATAGGTATGGAAGTTGGGGAGTTTGCTTCATATACGGTACATGCTTTGGATTAGGAGGATTAGCAGCTGCTGGCAAGACTTACAATGATAGTTCATGTATACGAAAAGCCGTTCAATTTTTACTCCAAACACAAAGTGATGATGGGGGCTGGGGTGAAAGCTTCCTTTCATGTTCCAAAAAGGTAACATTAATGTGAAAAAGGATGCCAATTTCTTGTGTAGATGCATCTTTGAAAAGGGTGTGCAAAAATACAACTCAATAGATATTGAGTGTGTTTAGAACTCGTTTTAAAATGATTTTATTTTTTGTATACAAATAAAAATGAAAACGTTTTCAATCTTAGACAGAAATCATTTTTGAAAATGTGTTTGGTAGTTTTATCAAGAGATTATTTTTAATATAAAAAACTCATTAATATCTCTATCTCTCTTTTGAGAGAGAGGAGAAAACGAAAACAAAAAATGAAAAACGACTAAAAGTCGTTTTTATTTCTCTCATTTTACACTAAATTAAAAAAACGTTTTCATTTCTGTTTTTTTTTTTTTTTTTTTGTCTTTATTACGCCAAACGTCATTTTAAAAAAAAATTTATTTTTTTCTCAAAAAAAGTGAAAAATAAAAACGGGATCAATTCTAAACACGGCCATTATATTTACATTTTCATCACCGGATAACATAACTTAACATCTATACCATTTAATTCACTAGAAGAAATCCTTATCCTGATAGGATATCCTAGCAGTTCTTTTTTTTTTCCCCTCTCTCGATAAAGATTACTGGACGTCTCCAACTTTGGTTTTGGCCGAGTATTTTGATAGAATATCAGAACCAACGAAGATAAAGAGAGACTAGATGGCATAAATGTAAAACTTTTGCATTTTATTGGCGTATGCATAATTTTTTCCCTTTAAAAAAAAAAACCATAATTAGGTGGGAAGCCCAAAGTGGACATGGTTACTTACTAAGCTCCTGATGTAAATAAAAAAAATTTAAAGATTTTTTTAATTACTAAGTTATCTCCCCAGGGGAATTAATCTGTTATTGATTTGTGTTGTGTTATGCAGGAATATATACCTCTGGAAGGAAATGGATCAAATCCAGTACACACTGCATGGGCGATGATTGGTCTAATATACGGAGAGCAAGCAGAAAGAGACCCAACTCCTCTTCACCGTGGGGCAAAGTTGATCATTAATTCTCAAATGGATAATGGTGACTTTCTGCAAAAGGTGAGATATCTTTAAATTATTCTTATTTTTCTCTTTTTCTCTTTTTTTTTTTTTTTTTCTTTTTTCGAGGTTCATAATTTACATCAATGGATTTCCAACCAACTAACTATGGACAGGAAATAACGGGAGTTTTCATGAAGACCCTTTTGCTACATTATCCGACACACAGAAACATCTACCCACTTTGGGCCCTGGCAGAATATCGTAGGCGGGTTCCACTATCTTGCAAAGCCTAAGTCAATCACCTAAATAATAAAGTGATATATATTTTTCAATTATAATACAAGTTTTACCTTTTTCAAATAATTAGTTTGTAATTTCAAAAAAAAATAATTAGTTTGTAATTTTTGCTTAGATATTTCTGTTAATTTTGTCAGTCATGTAGAATGTTAATTAAAGAAAATCTTGTATCTCTAAAGTTATGTAAGTAAGAGAATTGTACGAAATTAATTTATAAAAGAATATAAAATCTTTAAATTGGTAAGCATAAATTTTAGTCACGCGTTATTATGAACATGCCCATTTATTTTTTATGTATGTGAACGCTAAATATTGATCTCGCCTTTTTTTTTTTCTTGATCTTACATAAAAGTTATACCCTGTATTTTCAGAAAATAGAAACGTAATAGGTGCGTTTGGAACTCGTTCTAAAATAATTTTATTTTTTGTATGAAAATAGAAATGAAAATGTTTTCAATATCAGACATAAATTATTTTTAAAAATGCGTTTGGTAGTTTTATCAAGAGATTATTTTCAGTATAAAAAAATTCATTAATGTCTCTCTCTCTATGATCGAGAGAGGAGAAAACAGAAACAAAAAATTAAAAATGACTTTTAGTCTTTTTTCATTTCTCTCTCATCTTACACTAAATCAAAAAATCCTTTTCATTTCCGTTTTTTGTCTTTAATTGTGTCAAACGCCGTTTCTCTTCCGTCTTTATTTTTCTTTCTTGAAAAACGTGAAAAATAAAAATAAAACCAACTTCAAATACGGCCAATGTATCTTCTATATTACAAAATTGTACGAGTGGATAGGAAGGAAGAGAAAAGAAAAGTCTTCCCCAACCCTTTTTTCTTGACCAAAATATGTCAAATTGTTTAAATTCCAAAGTTCTGCAACTGCATTTTAACTAAAACCATATATTAGCAACTTGAGATTAACTCAAGTGATAGAGTGCGTGAGTGTGTACGTGTATTCAGTAAAGTTTAAATTTTAAAGATTTTATTTCTGAAGTGCGATCCATGAGCCCTACACTATTACGACTGAATATAACGTTAAAAACCGTCATCTATCAAATGAAATGTCACCATATGATTGTTTTGCGAGGGCATATATTTCCAACAAAACATAACAACAACGACGAACAACAAAGAGAAAATACTACAAAATACCAAAATGATATAGGATAGTGGTGAGTATGTTTAAGGAAGTGAGGAATTCAACGTTGGCACTCACAGCAGGCAGGGAGGCATATATTTTTTTCAGGACAAGAAAAGTAAAGTAACCATATTAATGTATAACAATAGGACAGTTTTCTGTGATCTTCGTAAGTTTCAATATTTGATAATATTTGTTGCTTGAAATCTAATTAAATTATTTGTAAGTACTGGTTAAAAGTTATGGGGGAGAAACATAAATAGTTTGACTTTCACATATTCATCCTTCGGTTATATTATAATGTAACATTTTACATCAACAAATGATAGTAATTATTTCTGCCTTTCTAGGTTCTTTTTCTCATTGTCATCATAATATCATCTGCTCGATTTTTTTTTTCTTTTTTGTTTAATCAAGTATTTTTAGAAAGCAATTGAACCAAATTACGATATTCTGCAAGAGCCCAAATAGGGATAATATTCCTATTGGCTGCATACTGCAACATGCAGTTCCTCATAAAAAAAAGCCCATAATTTCCTGTTATTGTAGAAAGTAATGACCAACAATGAGTAAGATATAATATTAACAAGGAATAAATATACAGTACTACAATCTGTTTCTGTAAAAAAAAAAAAAAAAAAGTTAGTAATTAAATCTGTTAATTTTAGATGTAACGTATTACTAAGATAGTATAAACAAGATAATTAATTGGCACCTGGTGGGGAAAATCACCATCTTTCAAATATTCAAAAATGAATCATAGCAAGTCCCTAACAAGCCAGATCAACTCATCAAAAACTCGTTCTCACAGGTCCTCATCACAAGATGGAGATACGACCTTTGGTGAGAACTTGACGAGAAAATGGTGGCCAAATCATCCAAAAAGGGCATGAAATGCATGCCTAGATCAGCTCCAAAAAAAAAAAAAAAACAAAAGCGCCAAGAGGGAAACGAGCAAGGCAGAAGAATCACTCCTATTAGATGGGATATGTAGTCATCCGCATAAACAAAACTAAATCCATAGCAATCACGAAGTAAGGACACACAATCAACTCGTGAAGGGCAATTAACTGACTTTGAATAATCTACAAGAAGGCAAATTCATAAGGAAATGTCAGCAAAGATGGAAAAGGAAAGTAATAAAAACATGGGTTGAAGCCCAAATGATGTAGGAGGTTTTAGATATAACAATCGGTTACATATTTTTGCATTGTCGTTTATTCTACCTTATTACTAATTTAACATTGTTTTGTTATTAGTTTGTCGTTTGTTTTAGGTTAAAAAAATTCTTCTTTCTCTATTCTGCTACATCATTTAGAAGGGATAGAATTTTACCGACCTAACCCGAACAGAGGATGAGACTTAAAATTTCCAAATCCACCTAAAGAAATGCCACTAAGGAAACAACTACCAAAATTCTCAATATTTAAGTCTATGCAAGTCTAACTATTAATTTTAAGATAAAAGTCCCTGAACTTTTATTTTTTAACAGTATCGGTCTTTAACATTTAAATTGACGAACGATTTTTGAAATTAACATAGATAAGAGCAGAATATTGTAGTTTCTATAAGTTTTAATAGTAATAAAAAGAAAACTTTGTGTGCAACATAATTATTCTGTAACATTTAAAGTTATCATCCGATGGATATATCATTATCTTTATTAAATTTCAAAAATTATTAGTCAATCCGGGACCAAAACTATCAAAAATAAAATCTCAGAGACTAATATGCTAAAATTGAAATTTCGGAGATTAAAATGTGAATATGCTCAAAATGCCAATAACCCTAACTAAAGACCACAAGCTTCTTTTGAAAACTCAACTAAAAATGAAATCTTCAAACTACATTTCCTTACCAAATGGACTTTCTATAATACTCGATCTTCTAGATCTCAGATGAAATGAGATATTTTTAAGCTTGATTGATAAAATATTTTGAGAGAGAGAGAGAGGGAGAAACAATTCAGCCAATGTAAATGAAAAGGGGAAAAAAATTCGGAAGATTGGAGGAAGGAAAAATAAAGGAATAATTCTCTCACTAACCCAACCTATTTATTGGCAAAGACTTAAAAAGGGTAAAAGCGAAATTTTCTTCCTGATGAGGGCCTCTAAGATTTGGCCATGATGGTTATTTGAGAAGAAAATTACCATTTTCAAGACTTACAAGTCATGTCACCATACCTATTCAACAAATGACATTAATTTACCATTTTCAAGACTTTCAAGAAAATTACCGTTACTGTTAACTATGACATTAATTTCACCAACTAACATTTAATGATGGATGTTTCTAATGTTTACTGTAGTCGCAATATGATTTTAATTAAATTAATGTGACTATATAAACCTTTTTATCATAAATGGAAATTTGTGAATTTCCGTTGTAATTTCATGCGTTATAGAAATTAATTCCCTTATATGCATTCATATAGGTTTTGCTGGAATTTCTGGAAATCCTCATTATCCAAAATTGTAACTCATACATAACGTAATCTTGTAGTTATTTATCAATATTGAAATTCGACAAAAGTGTGGCATATAAGTCATGTATCTCATCACAAAATGCATCGATATGTATCGAGAAGATGCCAAAAAATTTATCATCTAAATTAACTTTAAGATTTATACTCGTGAATTTCTCGAGTATTACAAATGGCAATGAGAAGGGTGAGGCGTGATGGTGACGGCAAGAGAAGGCGAGGAGTGACAATTTTGAGAGAAAAGGAAACACGTTGTTTCGAGGGTTTAGGAAAATGATAGTTTAGGAACTCTAGTAACGATGCAACATAAAGAACAAGTTAAGAAGAAACTGACACCGTTGGCCCCTAACGACAGCTTCATCTACCCTCCAATATTTGTTATTCTCTCTACTGTTGCTAGTCCAAGTAAGTTCTCATCTTGAGATTTTTACACGGCCTTAATTGTTACTAAAACTGAGAAGTGCCAGAAGCCGACCACTAAAAAACGATCTCGCATCGGTTGAAAACTATCATTGAACAAGCAGAAAGTTGGCTCAACTTCGCTTTTACATTTCTAGAAACAAAGTTTCGGACCATACCAACCAAACTCTCTATTTTCAATTGATGTTCAATCCTACGTTGTACAATAATATTATTTTTATTTTACTGACATTGTTTTTTTGACTATTTTTCCTATATTAAATACTATCTTTGGAGTTGTCTTTAAGTTCAATACACGAACCAGTCAGGCACTTAAGCAAATTGAGTGTTACATTTAAGCAAACTGAGCATTAAACTTAAGCAAACTGAGCGCTAAAATTATGTACAAATGATGTTATACGGGCATATAAAAAAATTACATATGCTTAACTGTACGGCTGTCAGACTTAACATTTTGCCTATTATTTTTATTTTACTAATATTAATATATAATGACTTTGTCTTTACTTTAATATTAATGATAACAAAAAAACTGTAACTCATAAAAAATTAAATATAATTATTAAGGTTAAGAATGTCATTACACAACCACGTTGAGCCATATATATGGAATATTTACAAACTTCAGTCATGTTTAAATTTTATGATCATCTTTTATTTTATCGTAAGTATGATTAACCTAAACGAATTATTTCATCATCAATTGACTGAGTCAAGTTGTCGAGGGTGCTCACTCAAGCCGGGAGGGAGTAAATGAATGTGAAAAGAGATACTATTAATTTGTAAATTTCTTCACGTTTTCTTGATTATTTTCCATAAAAGTAGTGCAAATTTTAATTTATATAAAATTTTTAAAATCAAATTCGCTTTAAACACAACGTATCAATTTTCTTCACCAAAAGTAAGAAAAAGTCGAATTAGCAGTATAATAAATAAATCCTTTATGTATACATTTTTGT